CAATCAATCAATCATTTGTGTATTTATTTTTATCTATCAACTTCTACTTTTCTAACACATATCTCTCTCTTCCATACAAACTCTTTCTTTATCGTTTTTCATTTGTCTATTTATTTGTTATAACCCTTTCGTTAGATGTACCTTTCTCTTTTCTATACGTTTAAATACTGTCTGTCTGCCTGTCTCTCTCTTACACTCAGTCTGTCTGTCTCTGTCTCTGTCTGTCTGTCTGTCTGTCTGTCTGTCTCTCTCTCTCTCTCTCTCTCTCTCTCTCTCTCTCTCTCTCTCTCTCTCTCTCACACACACACACACACACACACACACAAGCGTTCGTTACTCTCTATATATATTTCTTATTTTTGTATTTTTGTTTCAACCCATTGTGTCACCATACGTGTTTCACTACTCCGTTCCTACCTACCGTTTTTGAGATGGCAGCTCCTCTCATTCACTTTCTCTCTCGCTCCTCTATTTATTGTTTTATCTCACTTCCTCTTCTTATTTCTCTCTCTTTCTCTCATATTCTGTCTGTCTGTTTGTCTCTCTCTCACACACACTCATTCTCTCTCTTTGTCTCTCTACCTCCACCTCTTAAAATGAAAAATACTTTAGTCAATCAATAAATCATTTGTGTATTTATTTTTAACTATTTCTTTCTATTAACTTTTATTTTTTTAATGCATGTCTCTCTCTTCCATTCAAATTCTTTCTTTATCTTTTTCCATTTGTCACTCTTTCGTTTTATACTTTTAAATACTGTCTGCGGGCCCTCTCTCTCTCTCCCTCTCCCTCTCTACCTCTCTCTCTCTCTCTCTCCCCTCTCTCTCTTTCGCTTACTTACACTATGAACACAGTTTTCATTTTTTTATTTTGCTTCTATACAGGGCTTTAGTATCATTAGAGGCCTTATATTGAAAATTGTGACAAAAATGAAAGATTTTTCTTTTTGTTTTGTTCATACAAAATTGACATAATTCACGATAATAAAGCTCAATCTCCTAAAAGCTCATAGGTAGAAAATATTGAAATGGTTTTATAACGAAAATAATTTGGCCTGAGAGATTGAGATTTATGAGGATTTATTTAATGATGTGATTGAAATAAACGATATTATTAAAAGTAGCACCTGAGACGAAAAGGATCCCAACAGATTCTTTACGCCCACGATGAGATAAAGCTGCCGATTTACGGTCTCCTAACGCTGGGTTCATTCACTCTGGGAACTCGGGTTATGCAATCCGTCGGGTCTCATCCTACCGGAAGGTCATCACTTTCTGATTTATGCACGGGTTGATTTTCAACGTCTCCCGGGTGTTTGCCGAAGCGGACGGTAGAACAGATGTGTAACCTGGGCCTGGCACGCTTCCGTTAACACGCGGCTTTGATCAGGACATTACCCGGAGACATATTACACGTACATCACTTATGTAAATTCCCCAGTGACCTTCTTCCCCCCGGCTCGCCTTATAAGGCGATAAACCATAATTAACTCAACTTGCCCGGTTTAACTTACAGGTTTTGTATATTATGTGTATGCCTTTCGCAATATGTGGACGTGAGCTTAAATGGAGATGCTCTTAGGTTATAAAAGGTCGATTGCCGAAGTGCGTCTACTAAGCAAGCATGCTTTTTATGTATACTTACACCATTAGAAAGCAATTTATGAGACAGCCCTTTGCCTTCGTCTATAGTTAACCGTGTATATAGTCACCTCTTGCAATAGCAAATTATGCACTGCAAATCACAATCCAGCGATAAAAGGTTCTAGAAAAAATTGCTTCTTGCGAGAAGAAGAGAAAAGAATATACAATATCTTTCCTGTCATTTTTCCTTTCAAGTGTCTTATTATTTCTTTCTTTCATTTTTTCCGTTCTTTCTAATTTCCTTTCTTTCTTTTTTATTTATCTTTTTTATTTATTTCCTAACTTCCTTCGTACCTGAAAAAGACGTTCTAAACGTGAACACTGGGCGTAAATACAAATGATGGGGCTCTCGCTATTTTTTTGTAAATTAATTATGAATGTTTAATTTATTCATGTAATATTTAATTATACCTTCATGGGTCATTATTTAAGCCCGAGAACTATTTAGGTTAGGGGGGCTAGTAAAAATATAGTCGATAACTTTTTTCCTTTTTTTTCTTTAACGAGGGTTCGCAACTGCAGAGGTCATATACCCTCAGTGTTCCGGTGTTTTTGAAAAAAATATTTTTTTTTTAAGTATATGGGGTTCGAATGCAGGGCCGCTGGATTCGAACCCGGGACCTTCACCTTACAGTGATGAGCGCCGTGTCAACTCTTACCGTTGTGGTTACCGATGAATTCACTCAAGATTTTAAATGTACAGAAAATTTTAGCAATTGAAAAAAAAGAGAAGAAAATTCTAACCAATCCGATTAATTAATAATAACCAAATCGATTACTAAAAATACTTTTGGTTGATCAGTGTTTTCAGCATGCTTCTATTTACTTGAGAAAATTTTTTTAAGATTTTATGGGTATTATTATTATTTCTTTCTTTCATTTTTTTTCTTTCTAATTTCCTTCCTTTCTTTTTTTATTTATGCTTTTTATTTATTTCCTAACTTCCTTCGTACCTGATAAAAACGTTCTAAAACGTGAACACTGGGCGTAAATACAAATGATGGTGCTCTCGCTATATTTTATAAATTAATTATGTATGTTTAATTATTTATGTAATATTTAATTATACCTTAATGGGTTACATTTAAGCCAGAGAACTATTCAGGTTAGGGGGGGGGGCTAGTAAAAATATAGTAAAAATACGAGGGTTCACAACAGCAGAGGTTATAAACCCTCAGAGTGCCAACAAGCATTTGTAAGTATGTCGGGGGTCTGCTGGATTCGAACCCGGGACCTTTACTTTACTGTGATGAGAGCCGTGTCAACGCCTACCGTTGCGCCCTCCCCCTCAGTAAACTACTTTTGTTTAATCAATATTTTCAGCATGCTTCTGTTTACAGAGAAGAAATTTTTAAAGAATTTATGGGTATTATTATTATTATTTCTTTCTTTCATTCTTTTTTCCGTTCTTTCAAATTTCCTTCCTTTATTTTGGTATTTATCCTTTTTATTTATTTCCTAACTTTCGTCGTACCTGAAAAAAAACACTTTCTAAACCGTCAACACTGGGCGTAAATACAAATATGGTCTGTCGCTATATTTTATATATTAACTATGTAGGTTTAATTTATTCATGTAATATTTAATTGTACCTTCATGCGTCATTATTTAAGCCCGAGAACTATTTAGGCTAGAACAGGCTAGTAAAAATATAGTCCATTACTTTTTTCTTTTTTTTAAACGAGAGTTAAATAAAAAACCTCAGGGTGCCGGTGTTTTTGAAAAAAAATTGTAAGTATGTCGGGGGGCTGCTGGATTCGAACCCGGGACCTTTACTTTACTGTGATGAGAGCCGTGTCAACGCCTACCGTTGCGCCCTCCCCCCCAGCAAACTACTTTTGTTTAATCAATATTTTCAGCTTGCTTCTGTTTACAGAGAAGAAATTTTTAAAGAATTTATGGGTATTATTATTATTATTTCTTTCTTTCATTCTTTTTTCCGTTCTTTCTAATTTCCTTCCTTTATTTTGGTATTTATCCTTTTTATTTATTTCCTAACTACCTTCGTCCCAGAAAAAAAAAGTTCTAAACCCTCAACACAGGGCGTAAATACAAATGTGGTCTGTCGCTATATTTTATAAATTAATTATGTATGTTTAATTTATTCAAGTAATATTTAATTATACCTTCATGCGTCATTATTTAAGCCCGAGGACTATTTAGGCTAGAATGGGCTAGTAAAAATATAATCGATTACTAAAAATACTTTTGGTTAATCAATGTTTTCAGCATGCTTCTGTTTACTGAGAAAAAAATTTAAGAATTTATGGGTATTATTTCTTTCTTTCATTTTTTCCGTTCTTTCTAATTTCTTCTTTCCTTTCTTTTTTTAAATTATCCTTTTATTTCCTATCTTCCTTCGTACCTGAAAAAAAACGTTCTAAAACGTGAACACTGGGCGTAAATACAAATGATGGTGCTGTCGCTATATTTTATAAATTAATTATGTATGTTTAGTTTATTCATGTAATATTTAATTGTACCTTCATGGGTCATTATTTAAGCCCGAGAACTATTTAGGTTAGGGTGGGCTAGTAAAAATATAGTCCATTACTTTTTTTTTTTAACACGGGTTAAATAATAAACCTCAGGGTGCGGGTGTTTTTGAAAAAAAGCCCATTTGTAAGTATGTCGGGTTCGCAGGGCTGCTGGATTCGAACCCGGGACCTTTACTTTACAGTGAAGCCTACCGTTGCGCCCCCCGCACAGTCGATTATTAAAACTACTTTTGGTTAATCTCAATGTTTTCAGCATGCTTCTGTTTACCGAGAAGAAATTTTTTAAGAATTTATGGGTATGCAATAAATTGTTCTATGTTATTTCATGGTGCGATATGATCGTTTCGTTACGTAATAACGCTGTAAGGTAATTCCCGTATGATACTGAATATGAAATATGATAAGAATTCGATGTTGTTAGTGTACAATCATTGGCTAATCAGAGACAATTACCAACTATGTAGAACATTTGGTTCAACAGGGTCCATTACGATGAAAACACAATAAACCAGAAAACATGACTCGAAACCAAAAGGTTGCTTAATAGGTGACTTCCTGCACACAGGATTTACGAGTTTACACGATAAGACTCATAAATACAAACGTACGCCTTGGACACGCGAATTGATGAATGAGATTGAGCTAGAGGATTGATGGTTTTTTTTGCTATTAAGGTAAGTGGCAAATCAAATCATTAGACGATGCGTGTTGTGACACGACTAATCATCAGCGTGGATATCTCGGACCGCGAAAACCGCGATGACCCAGGATCTTCCCGTCAATGTTTACATAACGGGGGTGGTGAAGGAGGGGTCCAGGAGACCAGCCCCCTCCAGGATAAGAGAGGAGGGAGCTAACGCCCGCCCGGGATGCACAGTGTTCTTCACTACAACAGACCTTCAACACACGAGTGATAAGACCCGTTTCTAACTACTTTCGATCCAACAGGTAAGAATTTAATCAAAGAAAAAAAATTTAGTGATTTAAAAGTGTAACAAGTGTTGTGAAGTTGAAAGCGTCGCCATCAAAGTACGGACTGTTTTAAATAAGGAAATTCGGATAGTCTCGCTGAAGATGACAGTCAAGTGAGGAGAATGTTAAAAGACGCATTTTGCACGATGCATCTTGTGTTTGGACAAGGGCTTCGAACTTTTCTGCAAATCGATGATATTCATCTGCGAGGATGCGGCGATGATTGTCCACCTTGTTCGTGGTACGAACGGCCGTAAATTCACGTTCACGGACTCGCAGACCACTCGACAAAACAAAAAAGGATTACCTGACAAAACTAGAAGACGAGAATGAGGTTAAAATTCAAATTTTTTTCAACAATCCAACTATCAAAGCAAATCTTCATTTTATTTAATTTCCAAGTTTCTAGTATAAAAAAATACACTTAAGCTTCAGGAAATTTTGTATACTTCTCAACTGCGGAAAATACCCATGAAAACTGAATATTATTAAAAAAAATAATAATATGAAAAATCATTGATACTGTAAGGCTTACAACTACCACACATAAATTAAATTTTTTTCTTCTAAAAAATATACATCTATTTATACAATATTTAAAATAATAATTTAAACGGTAACTCGATATTATTAAGAGAAGCTAAAATCCATACACACACACACACACACACACACACACACACACACACACACAAAAAGGATGCAAAAATAATGACATCTTTTACTGACAGAGAACAAAAATATCATAGTATTTGAAAATAATTTACAGCAACCCCACAGTGGTTTTGGCTAAAAATATGTATTACTTAAAAAAAAGGCCAAAAAATAATAATTTATTAAATTTTGAGGACGATAAATTAATCTCACACATTTTTTTTTTACAAAGGACTATCTATAATTGCTTTGCCTTAGTAATTTAATAAAAATTCAAATATACAAATCTTTATAAATTAAAATTTATTTACGTGCATGCTTATTAAAAAAATTTTACCTAAAAAATCATGTAATTAATAAAAAAATATAATTTTACTTAGCGTTTATTCAATTCTACGAATCGAAAATTAATATTTTATTTATTTTATAACAAAAATTTACAGCTTTTTCAACCAACAGAGAACAAAAATTAAAGAGAAGACAAAAATAATGTAATCTTCAGTGGCTTTGCTTAAAAAAACACATAAATAGTAAATTATTTAGTTTCGAGGACTTGATAAAATAACCTTTAACTTGATAGAAAAACTTTTTTTTATAAAGGGCGATCTATGGCTTTACTTTTATACTTTAATAAAAAATACAACCATCAAAATCTTTAACAATTAAAATTTATTTACGTGCATGATAATTAAAATAGCTTTACCTAAAAAATCATGTAATTAATAAAAAAAATTACTTAGCGTTTATTTAATTCTACAAATAGAAAATTAATATTTTATTTATTTTCTGACGAAAATGTATATCTTTTTTAACCAACAGAGAACAAAAATATAAGAGAAGAAAAAATAATGTAATCTTCAGTGGCTTTGCTTAAAAAAAAACAAAAATAAATAATAATTTATTTAATTTCGAGGGCTTGATAAAATAACCTTTAACTTGATAAAATAAAAAAAAATATATAAAGCACGATCTATGGCTTTACTTTTATACTTTAATAAAAACATACAACCATCAAACTCTTTAACAATTAAAATTTATTTACGTGCATACTAATTAAAATAGCTTTACCTAAAAAATCATGTAATTAATAAAAAAAATATAATTTTACATAGAGTTTATTCAATTCTACAAATCGAAAATTAATATTTTATTTATTTTCTGACCAAAATTTACAACTTTTTTAACCAACAGAGAACAAAAATATAAGAGAAGACAAAAATAATGTAATCTTCAGTGGCTTTGCTTAAAAAACCCACATAAATCGGAATTTATTTATTTTCGAGGACTCGATCAAATAACCTGTAACTTGATAGAAAAAAAAACTTTTTTTTATAAAGGACGATCTATGGCTTTACTTTTATACTTTAATAAAAAAATACAACCATCAAAATCTTTAACCATTAAAATTTATTAATATAATTTGGTATAATTTATATAAATAAATTATACTAATAAATTAGTATATTATAAATAAATACTAATAAAACATGTATTGATTTAAAAATTTCTGCTTAAATAATCCATGAAAGTTGATAAAAATATCAATTTGCTTAGCTTTTAGTAAAAATTATAAACAGAAAATTAATATAATCCTTACTGTACAAACTTTACATTATATTACATTATAAAAAAATGAAAAATTACTAATTTGTTATAAAATTAATTTAAATTATCTTGAAATATACTTTGATATTATAATTATCTATTAAAAAATCAGGGATAAGGTCAGTTTGAAAGAAAGGACATCACTCACCTATTTCGTCAAGCTTTCGATGAATTCCCCCTTCTTCGGGACTTTGAAACTATTATTAATAATTCACAAGGTTGGAAAATAATATGGACAACTACAACGCCAATTTCGATATAGAATGGATGTAGATATTTGTTAACCTTGTGGATTATTAATAATAGTTTCAATGTCCTGATGAAGGGGATAAATTTCTAGAAAGGTTGTCAAAAGGATGATGATATTTTGTTTTCTTTAAAATTTCCCTCATCCATGATTTTGTAATACAAGGTTATATTTTTAAATAAATGGTCATTACTTTTTTTAAATCTATTGCAAAATACTCTTGCCAATTTGGTTAAATAATCTCTTTATATTAATATTCAGAAATTTTCACGCTTTAAAAAATTTAAAGGTTTCAGTAATATTTTTTAAAATAATTAATTATCCAAATAAGTCTTAACTTCTTAAAATTAGTATATTTTCTGTTATGTTTTTAAGTAAAGACAGTATATTGCAATATTTTTGTAAGAATTGGTTTATTTAATTATTAATTTTTGAAATTTAAATTGTTTACTTAAAGCAAAGGGACAGTTGATTGAAGTATTTAGAAAAAAAAAATCCTTAAGTTTTAAAATATAACCTATCAAAGACTAAATTTAAGATAAATCGATCTTGAGTTTTCTTGAGTATAACACAAAATATTCTAATTTATGGTTAAAAACCCCTCAGATGTTAAAAATGCAATAAAAAACACGATTAAAAGAAACTGACAGCATCGGTGAACTGGATCGGCAGAGAAGGTCTCGCGTATCAAGAGCACTGTAGATAGTTCGCCCTAGGAGGACCTGACTCTTAGAAGAAGGGTCATCCTCACCCGATTAAGGATAGGCCATCCGAGGTTGACACACAGCCACACACTTTTGGACCAAAGCGTATGTTTCCAAAACGTAATGTCCCACCTGATTGAAGGATGCGGTTCGTTGGCTCCATTTAGATCCCGTGTAGGAATGCCACCCGTTTAGAGAATTGTGCTTAAGCAGGGCAGCGAATACGATCACCTCTTCTGGGTTTTGTAGGAAAAAATGTTTTTTTTTTTTTTTTTGTGTTTAGTAATGATAATTTTGTGTCATACAGTTTGTTGAGAGTGAATGTATTTATTAGCGCGAATGTGTTAATATCGAGTACTTCACTGACCCTCAATTAGGTTAGTTATACAGTAGGTGAAAAGGGTGATGGAATATCCCTAAGTTGGATTTAGGGTTGGGAGCATGGATTTGGATTTAAGAACCTGATCTAGTTGTTGAGCAGTCATCATCATCAATACAGGTCCTAAGGGGGTTCCTCATCCGCTTAAGGATAGGCCATGCCGTTACTTAATTTTGGTCCAAAGCCCGCGTATGTGTCCGGTATGTAGAGAAAGATTGAAAGGTGAAATTCCTTGGTTCTATATATAGAGCGTGTAGGAATGCTACTTGAGCAAGGCAGCGCGTAATTCTATTGACCTGTATGGTTCTATTGGCCTCTTGATATCTATTCGACAGACGCACAGCGAGAAATGACGGACCAGGACTGGAGGTCATCCCTTCACAGGATAATAAATCAAACTATTAACCCCAAACATCGTGATTTTGATACGGGAAAATATTAAATTCCTAGCGTAGTATTTTGCCCTAGAAATGACTCAAAATAAGACCATGTTACTAAACAACTCATCGGTTTATTTTGTTTTAATTAATTTTTTTAAATTGATCAAATCTATTTGATTTTTTGAGCCTTAACAAACAGCCCGGTGTGAATATCATGTAATTAACAAAAATATTTTGTTAACAATCGGCTTATGAACTTACATTAAATTTCACGAACATTATTATTATGACAGTTCATTAATAAATAAACAAAAGAAAACTAACAATATGAAGTTTTATTTCAACAAGCGATTAATGAATTTTTTATTACTTTAAAATTTCACTGGTTAAAATTTCCTTAGATTCAAGCTAAAAACAACGACTTAGTAAGTTAGCAATTTTGATAATATTGTAAATTTCAATCCAATCGAGATAAAATATATTCTTATTCGAAGTACGTTCCTAACGCTTAAAATTATTAATAAAACACTTTCATAAATATTTTGATTAACATAAATATTTATGATTTTATAATATGACTGTGGGAACGGAATTTTATTTGTAAAGAATAATCATAAATCGTATTGTAAAAGTGAGAAAACAATTATTCTAAAGGTTTGTTTAATGAATTGACAAAATAATAGATATAAATTTACTGCTTTGATGCTGTTTCTTAAACATCTTGTTTAATTTAATTACAAGACACATTTAAAAGCTATTATTTGTTTAATACCTAAATATTATGATAGTGACTTAATTCTTTTTCTTAAAAAAACATCCCTGATTGGAATGTCCATTTTTCTGTTCTTTCATCTAAGATAAACAGGCAACATCGTAATGACCGTGCTTCTCGTGACCTAGCTTCTCACCGGTCCTTATGTAAGAAGTTCAAAGCTTCTCAGGCAATATTCGATGTAAAAAATACTCAATTTGATGGACTTCGTTTATCCGAGATGCGCTAGCTGTTT